ACCACATGCACTGGCCCGTGAATACGGTAGGTATTGTTGAAAGAACTAAAGGTAAACTGTTTGGTCAGTTTTCATTCTTGATGACTAGACAGTGACTCCCGAGGTGGTGCTAAACATGATTAATAAAAGATTTGATTTTGCATTAGAAATGTGCACGGAATGTGCTCGCTTCGGCAGCACATATACTAGAAATGTGCATGGAAAATTACATGTAAAGATGTCCACATAAAGATCAGGTTTACAAATAATTCCTTATGAAATGGAAACATGCGTGTTTTATAAAGGGAGACCCCAGCTACAAAGCTCTGAGGAGCAGGGTCAGGAAGTGCAAATGTCCTCAGATGCAGGCAGGATCCTAAATAAGTGTGTGAGGGTGTGAGGTGGTTGGGACTGGTCGGGGGCCCTGGCGAGCTAGTCACTGGAGCCCACTCTAAAAGCATGAAAAGTTAAAACAAGACAGAAAACATGGCTAGATTCCATGGCTTCCACCTTTGAGTTCAGGTGTGCTAAAGCCAAGAAGCACAAGTCAGCTGTACTTAAAACAACACCGTATTGTGCATGTATTTAAGTATTCAAGGGAAAAAGAATGGGAGGAAACAATCCCCAGAGTTAACAGTGATTATCTCTGAGTGTTGTTTTGGTAGCAGTCTTAACTCCATACTTCTAATCGTTTTCATCTTTGACTTACTATTTTTTGGGGGGAAACAAAAGAAATGTCCCTTTTAGAAATTACCGAAGCTATACATTCTCATTACAGTATTTGCCAATGGTGCCAAAGTAGAACCAATAAATGTTTAAGTTTCTTTTCTCCTTTCTTCGTATTTTCCTACTTTTTTTTTGAGAGAGAGCGAGTGAGCATGTGTGCGTAATTGAGCAAGAGGCAGAGAGAGAGAATTGGGGCTTACCGGGGTCTTGTGTTTTACCTGAAGCGGGGCTCGAGGTTACCCAATGTGGGATTCCAACTCACTCACAAACTGTGAGATCATGACCTGAGCCGAAGTCAGATGCTTAATGATGTCTGCGTAGCCTGTTTCCTCCCTGTGCTGCGGGTTAGCTCAGATGGCACTTCCTAAGAGAGGCCTTCTCAGATCACTCCAGCCAAAAGGTCATTTCTCTGTTACTCTGTCATCATCTCCTGCTTTATTTTTCTTCATAACTGTTAATACTACCTCATGTTATATTTTAAATTAATTTATGTATTAAAATTTTTTTTAATGTTTATTTTTGAGAGAGAGACAGAGACAGAGACAATGTGTGAGTGGCGGAGGGGCAGAGAGAGGAGACACAGAATCCGAAGCAGGCTCCAGGCTCTGGGCTGTCAGCACAGAGCCTGATGCAGGGCATCAAACCCTGAACCAGGAGATCATGACCTGAGCCAAAGTTGGACACTTTAACCAACTGAGCCATCCAGGTGCCCCTAAATTTATTGATTTCTCATGTCCACTCGTTCAGCTATAATGTTTCTCCATGAGAAACTTTGTCTTATTTGTTAAGTACTGAATCTCCTAGAAGAGTACCTGGCATACAGAAGGTGCTCAGTAAGTAAGATAAATAAATGAATTATCAGGCCTAAAGTGTGTGTGTGTGTGTGTGTGTGTGTGTGTGTGTGTGTGTGTATTTGTTCCAACTCCTAATCCTTGAAACTTGTATCATCACCAGCTATAATGGAGAGATCGTTCCTCCTTTCCTTAGATTCTTTTCATGGCTTTTTGTAACTGGTTCTGTCAGTGATTTCCTTGATCAGTTTAATCTGATTTTAACACTCCTAGAAAGGATAAAGGAATCATGCAGGAATGCATCTGCCCAATGAAATATAAAACAGTTTTAGGACAAATAAAAGTCTGATACACCGTCATCATTTGCAGAGAATGTGTAGTTAGAGTTTTTAGGGATCTCAGATAGGAATGTATCGCCACAACCGTATGATTTCTGCTACCAAATGGAAGGAAGCCTAGTTCCCTTTTGTAGCTAAGAACATCAGAGATTTCTTGCATTCATTACTTTAACCATTAATTTCCTTATTAGTGTAAGCAGTTGTTTTTTTTGAAGGGGGGGCAATTATTTTCTACTCCCCCCTTCCCCCCGGATCTAAAATTTCTATTATTTCCACGACAGATGGTTGATTAGGTTCACTCGCTAGCTGTGTTTTCTCTTTTGTAAGCCACGTAACACACGATTCTGGTTTTTGACTCTGTCTATTAAGTATTACAGTTGATGTGTTTTTATGATCATTCATGTGTGTTTATACGTGTAAATGTCAAATCCATGAAGATCAAGTGCCTACTATACCATTTTTCGTGGTAGGATATATAAAAACTTTGACCTAAAAAAATGCTTAAAGCTACAAATGAGAATATTTTAAAAAATGCATGCATTTCAGGAGCTGACCCCTAAACTCTGAGGTCTAGTGTCTCGGAAGGAGCTTTGGGCTTTGCTCATCCCAGATCTGCCACCAAGTGACTGGTTGCTTACAGCAAAACCTTAGTCTGTCCAGACAACAGTCTTCTCAGCTTGGATCCAGTCTAATCCATGTTACCTCTAATTTCATGTCTTTTTCATTTTCTCTTAATCCAGAGCAGTTCTTCAGCCTTTCATTTTCTTGATAGTTTTAGAGAGGATAGACCAGCTCTCTTGTAAAATGTCCCTTGATTTTCATTTGTCCAGTTCCTTGTGATTAGATTCAGATTATGTACTCTTGGTAGGAATACCACGGAAGCAATGCTGTGAGCCTCTCAGTACATCATACTACATTGTCCCAGTGCTGGCGGTGATCACTGACTTTGGTCTTTTGGGTAAGGTGGTGCCTCCCAGATTTCTTCACTACATGGTTGCTGTTTTAACCTTTGTAGTTAATAGGTTATTTATTTATTTATTAATGTTTATTTATTTTTGAGAGAGAGAGAGAGAGAGTGTATGTGAGCAGAGGAGGGGGAGGGACAGAGAGAGAGAAGGAGACGTAGAATCTGAAGCAGGCTCCAGGCTCTGAGCTGTTAGCACAGAGCCCGATGCAGGGCTTGAATCCATGAACCATCAGGTCATGACCTGAGCTGAAGGCAGGCACTTAACCAGCTGAGCCACCCAGGCGCCCCCCAATAGGTAATTTAACTGTGTAGATATCTAATTCATTTTTCTGTGTTCTTGTATGTGTTTTAAAATGCAAATGTTGGGGCGCCTGGGTGGCTCAGTCGGTTAAGCAGCCGACTTCGGCTCAGGTCACGATCTCACCGTCCGTGAGTTCAAGCCCCGCGTCGGGCTCTGTGCTGACAGCTCAGAGCCTGGAGCCTGTTTCAGATTCTGTGTCTCCCTCTCTCTGACCCTCCCCCATTCGTGCTCTGTCTCTCTCTGTCTCAAAAATAAATAAATGTTAAAAAAAAAATTAAAATGCGAATGTTCCGTACCATTTTTATTATCTGCAGAGAGCAGATTTCAGTGGTTTCAATGATCTGATCTTAGTTTACTATCACCCCATTACACCTGATATGTCTCACTCTCTGCTTTGTCTTCAGCACTTTCTTCAGCTTCTTTAAGCACATTAGAGAGTGCATTTGGAAGCATTTGGCTGTGTGGACCTAGCCATAATGTAGCAAGTTTCACACTCCAAGCAAGCTCTACAGCCAAGCAACTACACACATATATATGTGTTGAACTGGATTAAATTGCATACACTTCAGAAGATTAACTTGCAGTAATAGGTTCTATGTTCTGGCTTTGACAGTGAAAAGAATCATTCAGCACATTTGGGGCAAGATTGACTATCAAGTGTCACCTTTTTCTGGCATTGGTTTTATGACTTTTGTTGTCTTGATGATTGTTCTTACAATCTGTAAAGTGTCTTCAGCAGAAATGGCCTTTATTCCTTTGTAATAGAAACATATGTTTTATTTTCAGTTCCCACATTCAGTGTTGGAACAGAGCTATAAAGCACTGCTGTTTGATTTTATTGAAGAGAGTTTTTCCTAAAGTTAAGTGGGCTAACAGCAACAAGGGAGCAGGCCCCATTGTGTAAATTGTTTAAATGTAGCAACACAGAGATTGTCACTATCATTATGCAAAGAGTTACTGATCTAAAATGTGGATTAAATGCGTTGCTGTCCTAGAGAGCTTGCAGCAGGCAAAGACATACCCAGTATGGCGTGTACCTAAAAGTGAGCGAGGCCTTGGGTTTCTTGGTGAGGTTTCA